AACACTCCGTGAATCCAAACAGGAAGTGAACAGGCCCAACATGAAGGGTGAATGCACCAATTGCAATATAAAGACTGCACTTGCCAAATACTGTGGGGCAGATCAAAATGATCGGGACATCCACCTACAGGACCTGAATTAACCTCGATTAATTGGAACAGAAGCGTATTCGTGACATCACCACATTTAAAGCTAGTCTGGAACTGCATTTCACCTCCATCTATTAAGTCTAAACAATATTAAGTTATTACTTTTTCATTTAGTGAAGAAATAAATATTGACACAGTCAGATATCACAAAGGCTTTTTTGATATATAGAATAGTTTTTATTATAGAAGATAGAGAAAATAATTATGACAAATCCGTATAGGTCTGTAGGTGCCTATAAAAAAAGCTGTTTTGATTTCACTTTAGAGGAATTATTTATCATAAGTTCTCCTACATTGGCTGCAGAGCGAGCCCCAGCCAGCCAACCCTCTCCCTCATTCTGGTGCCCAATGGAAAACTCTGATGGGTTACAGAACCCCAGAGGGAGGCATGGGTTTATTTTGTCTCATTCCTAGTGAAGTTGCCATACAGATTTGCTAACCAGTTGTATTTCTTTTGTGTGAATGCACCATTAGAAGTTGGCAGTCCAGGTCCAGAAAGTGAAAAGCCTGTATCGAGATTAGTTTAAACCATTTTCATGTACAGCTCCATAGGAAGGAATAACCTGGTGTAAACAGTGTTTTACATTCTGGATCTTGATTGTCCACCGGCTTCAACAAGCAAATCAAATGAGCGCTATCACCTCAGAGTTTACGTCACTCCAACACTTTCTAAGACTGTGCATTAAATGCAAACCCCTGACATTCCTTTGGAAATACAACTGACTTCTGATTCACAGTGTGAGCTGAGCTGCATTTTGGTTCTGGATCTGTTCTGAAACATTCGCTGTATAATAGGCTGTCATCGCATTGAAGACTTGAGGTGAAATATTAGAAATGTTGGCTAAACAGAAGCCCAGTAAAAAAACAAAAAAATAAGAGAAACATTTCAGGCAAAGGCAGCATTCATGGTTGGCAACATTTTTTGTTGTTTTATTTTCCAAATGTGATGGGAAACAAATTACAGTGTGAGGAAAAAAATTGCACTGAGATGATCATCGATGTTATTTTCAGGGTTAGTCAGAGATGACCTCCACATAGTTGGCAGGGAACAAGCCATAATGTCCATCAGGTCCATAACCTCTCCACCAGCCTTCATCCAGCATTTCAATATCTGTTATGATGTCATCAGGGTCAAAGGTGATCTCAGTGTCATCAGCTGTGGAGGAAAGGTAATCCAGGTGACACAAATGGAAAGCTTAGTTCAAAATGCCGCTCTAAACTTTTTTATTCAGCACATGACCCAATAATAAGTGACGCTTCTTATGACGATAGATTGTTTCTGTAGAGCTGGGAATATGTCAGATGTGGTAAGAGGTGTCGAAAGTATTTATGTTTATTACTCAGGAAACATAAATCCAACAGTAAGAGTATCAACTTAAGTTTTTTACTCCAGTAAAAGTGTAAAAGTACTATTTTTTAAAACTACTTAGAGTATAAAAGTAAAAGTAATACATTAGCAGATGTTTTACTGCACTACCCTCTTTAAGGAACATTTTTCCACAATTCTGGATAATTATTTCCTTAGACTTAATTTTCTTGTTTTTATAACTAATGGTAAAGGTGTCATATTTAACTTTGCATCATCTTGAAAAACTATTTATTTTGCTATTTGGTGGACAACAAGTTGGGGCAGCACCGACACCAACCACAAAGTGACATGGTTTTAGGGTTGTCAAAAGTATTGATACTCAAAAAAGTATTGATACTGAAAAGTTGTATCCGGATACAAAACTCATTTTCCGGATACAA